TCTGAATAAATGTGACTACAGGGAAATTTTTTAAATTATGCAAGGAAGAAATGACTGATCATTTTTTTACAAATGTAAAGCATATAGCTATTTAATTCCTAAGGCTATGCAGTAGGCGAACTGAACCAAAATAAGTTCTAACTAGAGTAACTGAACTGATTTTGTTTTCCGGTTTAACCGAACTGAAACCTAAACGAAAAACCTAAAATTTGATAAAAAAAATAATTAAATAAAGAGCCATTTTTACGTATAATAAATTTTTTACGTTCCAAAATAATTAATTTTTACATATTAATTCATATACATTTTATTCAAAATTTTATTATCTGAGAATTTAATTATTATATCAACAAGCGTTTGTATAATAAATTTAGGTATACCCGAAAGTATTTAGAGTTAAATTTAATTTTTATTAATTAAATATGTATAAAATAAAACTTTTAATTAACTTTATTAAATTCCATCAAAACTTTTCTACGAAAATAATTATAGTAAAGTAACTATAAAAATAATCAACAAACAGGTTTAATTCTATCATACTAAAATAGGAAAAGAAAATGATCCAAATAAAAATAAGTTTAATAAATAATAAAGTAGAAAAATAAATTTAAAAAATATTAATTTTTCTTTCCAATTTTCGTTATTCTAATTTTAGATTTAATTACATATAATTGCTTCTTCTAATTTTTAGAATTGTTTTTTAAAATTAGAAATAAGGTGGCTTATTAAACTTAAAAAATGCTTTTTTGCTCATGAAAGAATATTTTTATATTTCTTTTTACTTAGAATTTTACCAAACTCTGGAAATTCAATTTTTAAATAAGAATTTAAATTTAATGTGTCATCAACAATCGATCTAAGTGAAAAAATAAAAATAAATTTTCCTTTTTTTATTTTATTTTTTGTCGCTTTTTATGTCTGATGATTCAAAAAGCATTCTTTATTTTGAATTGGCTAATTTGTATCTATCTAAAAATGTTAGTTAAACACAATAATAACATTTTATTTGAAGTTTTTATTTGTCATTTCTCCAAACTTGCTTTTGTTAAAATTTCTTTTCATTAAAAATAATTAATTAATTAATAATTTTTAAGCATTTTCTTCATTGATATATTAAATATTTAAATCCGAAAAAACTTTAAATAATGGCTAATCATGGTCCTTGCTATGGTTTGAGCAGAGAATTGGAACGAAAGGTTCTATTTGATTACTCGATAATTATTAATCAGTTTACGAGTTTTATTTAAATATTTATTTTTATTTTAAAGAATCAAGCACGTTTCAATTTAGAAGAAGCTTTAGAAGTTCTTCAATGGATAGAGGATATGATTGGAATACCTCTTAATCCCCCGATAGAGCAAATAACTACTTCTTTACAAGTTTCTGAAGTTCTAAAGGATGGACTAATTCTTTGCTTGTAAAATAATTTTCAAAAATAATTTTTAAATAATTTAAAGACTTATGAATCGTCTTGTGGATTCGCCTGGTTGTTCAGTTATAAAATTCCATAAAAATCCACGGATGCCTTTTCATAAGGTAATTAAGCTTTATAATTAATTAAATATTAATTAACAAACAAAATACACTTTAACCAAGATAATTCAAAATTTATTTTTAAAAATTAATTCAAAAAATTATTTCAGATGGAAAATATTTCAAATTTTTTGGATGCTTGTAAAGCTTTTGGAGTTGCTGAGATATCCTGTTTTCAGACAGTTGATTTGTGAGAAAAATTTTATTTAAAAACATTCTTTTAAATTTCTAGGTATGAAAACAAACAATGCTATAAAGTAATTGAATGTCTTCGGTCATTAGCTGCAGTTGTATGTTTTTAATAACCCTTTACTAAATAATTTTACAAATTTCAGGCACAAAGCAAAAGCCAGTCAGGTGCTTTACATTCACTTTCAAATATTCAATTTCCACCGTGGGTTGTTAAAATGGCACAAAATCAGCCTCGAAAATTCGCTCCGGATGTAATACGTCAAAGTGAGGCAGTTATTCCGCTTCAGTATGGAACAAATAAATGTGCCTCACAGAAGGGAATGACACCGTATGGATTGACACGCCAAATTAAATAAATTAATTGAAAGGGAAAATTGAAAATGAGTTATAATAATATCGGAATTTTTATAAAGAAATGAAAAAAAGTAAATTATGTTCAAATATTTTTTTAAAAAACATTTCTTTATAAATAAACTATTACTATCTTTATTAAATTGCATTTAATACAAATTCCATTAAAATAAATAAATTTGAGGTTAATTAAAATATTTTTGGAGTGTTAATTAGATTTTGAATAGAAAACATCTTTTCTTTGTTTTATTTACTTGCAACATTAAAGAAAAAAAGAGAGAATCTTTGTTTGATTAATCTAGATTTTTTTGTTTATTAATTTAATTGTTCTCTAAATAATTATTTACTAGTTTATTTTTTCTTTTCAACGTTTTTTCTTTTAAATAAAAGGAAGGACTGGCTCATACTAAATATTCTTTCAGGTTGGCCATTAACTTTTGTTTTCTCATTCATATTCTAGTTTTAAATAATATTTATTTAATGACCATTCAAATAAATATATATTTAGGTAAATTAATGTGTTCTATAACACAATTCATTTTTCATAAAAATATTAATAATTAATTAGAATTTTTAAATATATTCTAATAAATGAATATATTAAATTCAAAAATATTAATTAAAATTATTTTTATATTTATTTGTTTGATTATAGTTTGTAATGCTTTTTATGGAGGGGATTGTGGGTGTTGCTGTGATTGTTGTTGTGACTGTTGTTGTGGTAGGTTTGAAATTAATTTTCAAAAATTTTATATAAAAAGGTTGTTGTACACCAATGTTAGCCATTCCCTGTTGTTGTTCATATAATTCATTTGGATGTTATGGTGGAGCTATTTATGGAAGAAGGCGTAGACGAAGCTTAGAAAATCGTTTAAAGTTTAATAAAAGATGCACAAATGAATTAATTAAAAATAAAAAGTAAATAATTAATTTAAATATTTAAAAGAAATAATTAAATTAAAGGTGTTCTAAACGTTTTACGATGGAAATGATTGAAAGATTGCGAGTACAGTCTGGACAGAGACAGAAACGGGAAATTGAAAGGAATCAACAAAAATTAGATTTTCTTAAAAAATTATTAAATAAATAAATTTTTAATTGAAAATTCTTTTTTCTTATTGTACATATAAATAAATACTTTGATTTTTAATAAAAAAATTATTAAAAATAATTTTAATTTAAAAATTGTTGGGGAACTACGGTTATATCAGGCTCGCCATAATTAAAAAAATCTTTTTTCTTTTAATTTTAAAAAATTATTTCTCGACATAAAATTATTTGTATGTATTTATTTATTGAACACTTATTTTGTCTATCGAAGAATTTTTATATTAAATTTCATTTAAAACAATTGGATTAAAAAAGTTTTAAGTGCAATAACAAATCATTTTTAAATATAAATTTTGTTAGTTTAATTATTTTTTAAGAAAATATTTATTTAATTATTTTAATAAAAAAATTTTTTTAATGATTCAACAAAATGATTTTATTTGTTAAAAAAATTTTGTGGGGGAATGGATGACGTTGACAGTATAAATTTTTTTCTACATAAACAAATTTTAGCAAAGTTTAAATATCTTTAAAATTTTTATTTTAATCAAATATAAATATTTTTATTTAATTTTTATTTAAAAATTATGGATTTAAAATAAATTATTTTAATTTTTATTTTATTAAGAAAAAGTTTTATTTCTTATTAAATTTTAAATACTTTTTTCAGTTACTTTGTTGAATATATTATTTATTTGTTTTTTTCTTGGAAGAATAAAAATTATTAAAAATAAGGGAATTTTTTCGGGGTTCATTTACATATTTTTCAGAATCTATTAAAAATTAGTTAAATAAATAAACATAATAATATTTAATAAATAAATTTAAAAATTCAGAAAAAAATATTTTTTTCAATAAATAATAATTTAATTTTAATTAATTTTTATAAAAATCAATTAATTAATTATTTAAATTTCTCTTTCACAATTCCCTCACAAGCTTTATTATTCCCAACTTTTTTTTATATTTACAGCCTGTTTAAACAAATTGTATAATCAACACAAATATTTTCCATCACCTTCTTTGTCCCGTTTGCCCGTCACTTTTATATTTATTATTCGTTTTTTTTGTCGCAATCATTACCTTTTTTATTTAAAATCGATTTAAAATTTTATTTTAAAAATTCTAAAATCTTTTTTAAAAAATTTAAAAGTTTATTCTTTACTTCAAATATTTTGCAGAAATAAAAAACCCAAAATAGTAAAACAAATAGTCTAAATTAAAAACATTTTATGTTTATTTTTATATTTAATTTGATTGATTTAAAATTTAAAAAAATTAATTTATATTTAATTCTTTACTTAAAATATTTATTTATTTAATCAATTTACTTTTTTTTTAATTTCTTACAACCAAAATTATTTTTTTGTAAAATTAGTTGCGCGAATTATTTCTGTCAATTGCATTAAATAATTATTTTAAGACCTCCCAGAATTATCTAAATATATTTTTATCATTTTATCGAATTTTGCATTAAATCTTTTCCCAACATAATTTTATCACATATTTTTTGTTAATTTTTAACAAATCAGGACAGACTCTCATAATTGCTTGTTTAATCACAAAAATAAGTTTTTGTGGCTCGGAGCTTATTGTAAAAAACTTATCCTTATTTAAAAAATATTAATTAATCTGTAAAGCCTTCTTAATGTATTTTAGAATTACATAATTAATTTTAAAGAATAAATTTAAATCATATTTATTAAATATGGGAATGTGTATGTCAAAAAGAAAAGGAAATTTTAAAACTGCAGGAACCCCGGGAAAGCATTCAAAAAATAAAGTTCTCTTTTTTTGTTTTAAAAGTTTAATAATTATTCTTTGTTTTTCCTCTTCAGAATGTAGGGGAAATTCGAGAAGATGATTTACAGGCAATGTTTAGAGAATTTGATCTTAATGGGGATGGATATATACAAAAAGATGAATTACGTTCAGTTATGATTAAAATGGGTCAATCACCAACAGAAGAAGAATTGAATGCAATGTTTGATGCTGCCGATGCTGATAAAGATGGAAATATAGATTTTGATGGTAAATTTAAAAAATATGTGGGCATTAAAGTAATTACATAGTATTTGTAATTCTCTCACTTCTACTCTATTAAAGGAAAACTAGGATAGTTTAAGTGAAAGAGGAGTAAATTTAGAGGATCTGCTATCAAAAAATATTTCAAAAAATATACTATCAAAAAATATTTATTTTAGAATTTTTAACAATTGCTCGAGCTAATCCACTTTCATTATCTTTAAAAACCGTGGTAAGTTATTTAAATTATTTTTGATAAATTTATTATAAATATGTGTGTACATAGGGCCAGAATTTTAAAGAAATAAATCGGAGGAAAACAGCTAAAAATAATAATAAAATTTCTTTTAAATTAGAAACCATTTTTGTGTAATATTTTTTAATATATGTATGGAAAATACAATTTTAGAACAAGATTGTAAAAAAAAGAATTTATCAGAATATAGGATGTTTAAGAAAACGCTTAAAAATCTGAACACTACTTATAAAATTATTAAAGTCTACAATCTAAATTTTTGAAATAAAATTTGTTATATTAGTTTGATGAGTTAGATGTAGATGGTGATGGATATATTACAAGGTAATAAATAATAATTATATTTAATATATTGCAACTTTTACGTTAACGATAGGGTATAAGGCTTTTATTAATTTTTAAAGTTATTATCAAAAAATATTATTTTATAATTTTTAACAATTGCTCGAGCTAATCCGCTTTCATTATCCTTAAAAACCCCGAAAGATTTTTTTATGATGATTGTCTCCAACCTGACCCGCTCCCCTAAAAAAAAGTTAAAATCCGTGCTTTTTGGAGTGTTTTGGCGGACCTGGATATACAGATCCGCCAACCCTAACTCCGCTTCTGAACTTTCGGCATTTAATGCTACATAATAGGCATTTTATTTAATGCTACTAGGCGTTTAATGCTACTTTTTAGATCAGAGCTAAGAGCTGCCTTTCAAAAAATGGGGCATGATTTAGATGATAAAGAGATAAAAGCAATTTATTTACAAGTTGATACTAATAAAGATGGAAAAATTAATTTTATTGGTAAAAATTAAAAAAATATTTTTAACATTTATTTAATTTTAGAATTTACTGAAATGATGACAAGAAGGAAATAATATTAATTATTAAATATAATTCTTGTGCCTTTTAATTTTAATAAAAAATTAACGTTAACATTTATCTACAATTTAAATTAAATTTTTTATTTCACAATTTTAAGGGTTTTAAATATTTATTTTAAAATCCCTGAATAAAACGATCACTCTAAATCAATTTTTTGAGTAAGGAAAAATGCAGTAAATATGAGGGGTTCGTTAATCGAAATTTATTTTCGTAATCGTAATTCGTATTTTTTCCTTTTTTGTGAGAGTGCTACTGCTATAATTTATCGGTTAAAAATTTTTCTGTTAATGGTATTATTTTGCCGGAAAAACATTTAATTTTAGAATGTTTCCGAAAAACATTAATTATTACATACATGTTTCCTGAAAACATTTAATTTTTAAGATGTTCCGGAAAAACATTTAGGTAAATCTTAAATGTCTCCGGAAAGGTAAAACATTAAATGTTTTTCTGGAAAACATTTAATTTTTAAAATGTTCTGGGAAAAGATTATTTTTAAAATGTTTCCGGAAAAACATAGATGTTTCTATGTCAGTGAACATTTTTTTATGAAAGTCTAACATGTTTTTATGAAAAAGTTGTTTGCCCTCATACCTCCCAAACATAAAACATTTTCCAGCTGTTCAGGATATGTATTTCCCTCAACAACAGTGGAATTACTTTTTGATGGCGGTATGGAATAGCTATAGAAATTGACTTGGACAGAAAAAAAAATTCGATCATTTCACGACCACAAGGAAGTATAATTAACGACATTTCTCATGTCTGTTAATCCAAAAAATAAAATTTTTAAAAATTTAAAAAATAATTCATTTATTCGATTTATATGTCAAAAATATTTTTGTAAGATGTAAAAAATTAGATTATAAAATACAGTCGGAACCCTTTATTTAGCAATTCAAATATTGATTACATCAACTTAAAATGCGTCTTTTATTTGTCAGGCACCTCGGTAAATGTTTAATGTTGAAAAGAATGTTTTTAAGAATATTCCCGGAAAGTGTCTATAATTTTATAAGATTCCGGAAAAGTTTTTAGACACAACCACCTAATAAGTTATTTTTCAATTTTTAGACCAAAAAGTTCCGAATGTTAAAAAGCACTAAAATACGTTACAAAGAGGTTTTCTTAAATTTGAATTAAAATCGTATAGGTAAAGCCAAAAGACAAATATCATGATGCTACAAATATTCAAGTTTGTTTTTGAAAAAAATTTTAAGAAAAATTTAAAATTATTCTAAAATCTAGAAAATGTTTTTAAGAAAAATTTTTTCAAAAACAAATATTCCAAAAATATACTTGTTAGTGTATGTATTTTTTGAATTAAAAATTATTTTTAAGTAAAGCAAAGAAATTTTGTTTATATTTTATTGTCCAAACTTCTTAAAAGACATAACTTCCTTTAAAAGCCCCAAGCTTTTATTGTAAGAATTGGAGTCGGACCTCCAGTAAGTGTAGCCTTTATTGAATTTAAATTGGTTGTTGGTGGAAGAATTTTTATGCGATGTTTGATGTGTTGATCAAAGAATAATTCTGTTTTATCAACTACTTTTACTTCATTCAGCCAATGAACTATAAGAGCATCTCCAACCAATTTGACCTATAAATGAGAAATTTTATAAAATAAAATTTAAAATTGTTAGCAAGGGTAAACTATGAAGACCTGTATGGATTTGAGGGATAAAGGTAAGATCAGGATATTTGGGGAGTTATCGTGAAACTCGGAGATATCTCGGGATTATCCGTAATCTTCGGTTCGGTTATCGGTTCCGGTTCCGAATATCCGTAATTTTTGGTTCAGATCCAAGAATTAGGGAAAAGGAAGAATCTTGTCCAATGGCCTTCCAAAATTCTCAAATTTTCGCCTGCGGCGCTGTAAAAGGAAGAATCCTGGCCTTATAGATATTCCAAAATGCTCAAAATTTTCGCCTGCGGCGTTGGAAAAGACGAAAAAGGGATTTGTATGGATATCGGAGTATTAATTTCAAAATTCCTCGTTATTTTTTCAATCCCATAATCCCAACTTTAACTTAAGAAAATACCCGATGTATCTACTACTCCCCCAAAATCCACTGAATTATGCCAAATCATTAGATAAACTACGAAAGTTAGCAGAAATTAAACTCACATGAACATTCTCCTTGAAATTGCCAACGGCAAACTCGCACTTGAATAGCGGGTCTTTAACAACGTAAAAGTAATTATTTAAATAAAACATGCTAAACCTGAAATTGTCCTTGGAATGGTAATTGGAATGATTTGGTTGCCTTCAACATTATCCAAATTAATTTCAAAGTCTCTCTCTAGCTTTTTAAACTTTTTACCAGCTTAAAATTTATTTAATTATTTAAACTAAAAGATAGTGAACCTGGAAATTCCCGTGGAATGTTCGAAAGCAAAGACTTAGTGAGTTGTTTTGCCTGAACAGAACAATTTTTTATTTTAAGTCCCTCAAGTCCATCAACATTTTCCTTGTCTTCTCCTGTAGTTGACTGAACATTTTGTAAAGAAGAAGGACCCTGAAGATAAAATAAACTAACGATTTAACCAGAAAATTGAAAAGGAAAAAATTTTTGGAAAATTTGGGAGAGCCAGGGCAAAGCCAAAGTTCGGACCCAGGTTTGAATACGGGAAATTTTGAAGCCCGAGCCACAAAAGGATTACTACAGGCACTTGTGTCCCTTACTATTTAAGCAAATGTTTCAAGAAAATCTATGACAAAAACTGGTTAAGGATTACATGAGAACCTGGAATAAAACTAAAAATGGCCTTAAGATCTCTCATATTTGAGACTGATGTGATGTTTGGACACAGCCCCGCTAAGTAAACTCAAAACTTTTAACTCCAAAAAATCAAAGAAAATATGAAAGAACCTCAGATTTCCTTTTAGGAGCCAATTCGTAAGAACAGGTTGAAGCAGAATGACTTCGTTTCATACACACTTTTGCTAGAATAAAAAATAAAAAAATCAGCCTCATATAAAACAAATAAACCCACTTTCCGATTCAGTTGTAATTTCCCGTACAATTTCCAAACCACACCCATCGCTGGGGCATAAACTCTTAGTCAAGAAATAAGGCACTAAACATGCTAAATGAAAGTTGTGGCCACAAGCAGCTGAAATATTGCCTTCAGAATTAATTTGTTTCGAACAAAGTGGACAAGATTCCATGCTTAACTAAAATATAATAAATTTAAAAAAGTCTTAAACAATTTTAGCCAATAATTCTTTTAAAAATCATAAAAGATTCGCGATTGAATTAATAAGACTCATCAATACTACTATTAAAATGGGTATGTTTGAGTCTCGCCTATTTTTGGTCGTATTTTAATCAATAACTTTGAGTTTATACATTTCGAATAGAACTTTTATCATTCGAAAGCCATGGAAATGAAGATTTTTTCCTAATATCGAAATGACATGAGCATTCCTTAAAATGTTATAAACTGTTTAGTTAGGACAATGATTTTCTGTTTATCTGCTTATAGCTTTAAAAAATCATATCAAAACGGTCTTCCTAAGAAAAAGAAACGACACATCCAAATCTTATTCAAATGGGTTAAAATTCGAAAAATTTGGGCTAAATATGGATCAGAGACTCAAAAGGCTTTACTCAATGGTCCTTTCCCGCAATCGTAAAATTTAAATTTCCACTAAGGACACTTTGTTCTCTTCGATTCAGAGACTTCAATTCATTGCGAAAATCTTTGTAGAGGGGTTTTTGTCTAAATTTAAACAATTTCAATTATAATATCAATTTAAAATCTTTTTCGCAAAAATAATGGAAGGATATTTCAATAATATACAGGGCTGTACTTTAGTACGTGGGTCCCGGAGTTAAAATACAAATGTTATACCATTCGAAAGAGCTAGTCGAGCTGAGTCGAATGCCACCAAAATCACTGTGATTGAACAAGATTAGACAAAGTTATGACACAAAAAAACAAAAAACCTAAACCTATAGGCGTCGGCGAGGCGCTTGTGCAAAACCCCGCGCTTCGCGCGGGGTTTTGCGGCACGCGCCTCGCGGGGAGTCTGCGGGTGCTGGGTCTGGGCTCGTAACATAAACCAAATACGTCCATCCCTTGATATGGACGTATTTGGGGCCTCCGTAGCAGCAAAAATCTCCGCAGATGCCATAGGTAAGGAGCTAAAATAAAAAATCATAACTTTGTCCAATCAAGTCGGATTTCATTGATTTTGGTGTTTTTCGATTCAGCTCGAAGAGCTCTTTCGAATGAGGTATCATTTGCATTTTCGAATTTTTCACCCCAAAAAAGTGCTTGGCCCCCCCTATGCTTTTTCAAATTTCAGGGACCTATATCTCGGTCCAAAAATTTTTCCTCGGGCTAAAACTGGTGGCATTCGACTCAGCTCGACTAGCTCTTTCGAATGGTATAACATTTGTATTTTAACTCCGGGACCCACGTACTAAAGTGACCCCATATACAGCTTACAAATGGTATATAAAATTTCCTGAAATATTCATGATTATCTAAAATACCGATAACGATATATATTCTAATGAAATATCTCTGATATTGGCTATAAAAAATATTAATCTTATGACTGATTATAACTACCTTAAATTTTATAAACATTTTTCTAAAATTTTTCCCAGCTAAAGTATAAAATAACAAAGAAGAAGTTGAGAGTTTTGTAGCATATTCCTTCCATTTTAACTCCAATTTTGTTTTTCCAATTGTATGATTATTTATTAATTTATTATTTATATTAGCTGCTTTAATTAAATCAAATAGCAATTCAAGAGGCAAAGGGGAATAATTTTTATTGTTTTTGTATTCTTTGTAATTTTTATTTTGGGGATTTTCCATTTTTATCTGAAAAGTATTTTAAATTATGTGTACATATTCCTCTCATAAATTGTTTCCGGAGAGTAAATATAAAACACACACTAACAAATAAATTAAATAATACACATTCCGGAAAACAAATATAAATTCTTCAAAAATTAAATAGAATACATTTCGGAAAGTAAAGATAAAACATAAAATAATATAAACACTCCGGAAGACACATTTTAATTGTTTTAAAAAACAGATTAACCCAAGAACAGAATATAAAACTTTCCGAAAACAAAATAGAACAACTTCCGGAAATTAAATATAAAATATACAAGTAATAGAATACTTCCGGAAAATTTAATTTACAGTAAATATATAATATAGATTTTCTGGAAAACATTTAAATTTAACTTCAAAATACAAACTCGAAACTCACTTAAAAATAAATTTTTCAAGAAACAAAATAGAATACTTTACGGAAAAATAAATAGAACACATTCAGGAAAATCAAAAGTTAATATAAATATTCCGGGAAATCAAAAAAAGTACTCATCGGTTATATGCCCACAAACTGGGTGCCGGCCGAATTATAACCCGATAAATCTGGAAAGTACTAAATAACTGGACTTATCGTATTATAACTTTTAAATGAATGATCAGAATTGATATTAGAATAAGGTACCGCTTATCGAGGGCTTTCGAATGATAAGATTTATTTGAATTGGACCAAGCTCAAAAAAGTTATAGACAATCAATGTCGGATGCCACTCAGTTTGTGGGCGTATATCCGTCAAGTACCCAAAAAAACTTCAATTAATAAAAACTTTACAAAAAACACAATTAAATGTGTTTTAAAAAAACTTATTGGAGATAGAATAGAACACATTCAGGAATGTAAATATAAGCCTAAAATAATAAAAACTTTCCGGAAAAATCTTTTTACATATGAATTTTAAATTATTTATCAGGAATATAAAAACGTAAAAAAATTTTATTATAGTTTTTAAAGAATTAAAAATTTATTTAATTTAAATGATTAAACACAGATATTTGTTCTTCGTCTTTGAATGATATTTATACTTGGTATGGGTGGGATTAAATCTTTCAAATATTTAAAAAGTTTGTTAGCTCCTCCCATTTACCTATAATTCTTAAAAATGTCAACATAAATATTTAAAGAAAACAAAATAATTATTAGACAGGCAAAATTACACAATTTTTGTTTTTTCCTTTGAGTAAAATTTTAAAAAGTTTTTCGCCTCTTCGCTTCTTTTCATAAAGATTTATTTTTATATTATTTTGCGAGATCAAAAGCATGTAGGAAAAGGATATATAGAATAAAGGAACGACTAAAAGAGGTAATAAATAATAATTATATTTAATATATTGCAACTTTTACGTTAACGCCAGGGTCGAAGGCTTTTATTAATTTTTAAAGTTATTATCAAAAAAATATTATTTTATAATTTTTAACAAGTGCTCGAGCTAATCCGCTTTCATTATCCTTAAAAACCCCGAAAGATTTTTCAGGATGATTGTCTCCAACTCGACCCGCTCCCCTAAAAAATTAAAATCCGTCTTTTTGGAGTGTTCTGGCGGATCTGGATATACAGATCCGCCAACCCTAACTCCGCTTCCGAACTTTCGGCTCTACATACTAGGCATTTTATTTAATGCTACTAGGCGTTTAATGCTACTTTTCAGATCAGAGTTAAGAACTGCCTTTCAAAAAATGGGGCATGATTTAGATGATAAAGAGATAAAAGCAATTTATTTACAAGTTGATACTAATAAAGATGGAAAAATTAATTTTATTGGTAAAAATTTAAAAAATATTTTTAACATTTTTTTTTAATTTTAGAATTTACTGAAATGATGACAAGAAGGAAATAATAAATATTAATTAATAAATATAATTTTTGTGCCTTTTAATTTTAATAAAAATTAACATTAACATTTTTCTACATATTAAATTAATTTTTTTTTATTTCACAATTTAAGTTTTATTAAATATTTATTTTGAAATCCCTGAATAAAACGATCACTAAATCAACGAGTAAGGAAAATACAGTAAATATGAGGGGTTCGTTAATCGAAATTTTTTTCGTAAGCGTAATTCGTATTTTTTCCTTTTTTGTGAGAGTGCTACTGCTATAATTTATCGGTTAAAAATTTTTCTGTTAATGGTATTATTTTGCCGGAAAAACATTTAATTTTAGAATGTTTCCGAAAAACATTAATTATTACATACATGTTTCCTGAAAACATTTAATTTTTAAGATGTTCCGGAAAAACATTTAGGTAAATCTTAAATGTCTCCAGAAAGGTAAAACATTAAATGTTTTTCTGGAAAACATTTAATTTTTAAAATGTTCTGGGAAAAGATTATTTTTAAAATGTTTCCGGAAAAACATAGATGTTTCTATGTCAGTGAACATTTTTTTATGAAAGTCTAACATGTTTTTATGAAAAAGTTGTTTGCCCTCATACCTCCCAAACATAAAACATTTTCCAGCTGTTCAGGATATGTATTTCCCTCAACAACAGTGGAATTACTTTTTGATGGCGGTATGGAATAGCTATAGAAATTGACTTGGACAGAAAAAAAAATTCGATCATTTCACGACCACAAGGAAGTATAATTAACGACATTTATATGTCTGTTAATCCAAAAAATAAAATTTTTAAAAATTTAAAAAATAATTCATTTATTCGATTTATATGTCAAAAATATTTTTGTAAGATGTAAAAAATTAGATTATAAAATACAGTCGGAACCCTTTATTTAGCAATTCAAATATTGATTACATCTCAACTTAAGATGCGTCTTTTATTTGTCAGGCACCTCGGTAAATGTTTAATGTTGAAAAGAATGTTTTTAAGAATATTCCCGGAAAGTGTCTATAATTTTATAAGATTCCGGAAAAGTTTTTAGACACAACCACCTAATAAATTATTTTTCAATTTTTAGACCAAAAAGTTCCGAATGTTAAAAAGCACTAAAATACGTTACAAAGAGGTTTTCTTAAATTTGAATTAAAATCGTATAGGTAAAGCAAAAAGACAAATATCATGATGCTACAAATATTCAAGTTTGTTTTTGAAAAAAATTTTAAGAAAAATTTAAAATTATTCTAAAATCTAGAAAATGTTTTTAAGAAAAAATTTTTCAAAAACAAATATTCCAAAAATATACTTGTTAGTGTATGTTTTTTTTGAATTAAAAATTATTTTTAAGTAAAGCAAAGAAATTTTGTTTATATTTTATTGTCCAAACTTCTTAAAAGACATAACTTCCTTTAAAAGCCCCAAGCTTTTATTGTAAGAATTGGAGTCGGACCTCCAGTAAGTGTAGCTTTTATTGAATTTAAATTGGTTGTTTGTGGAAGAATTTTTACATGTTGCTTGTAGACCAGTCCATCTTCTTCAACTTCATTAAACCAATGAATTATAAGTGCGTTCCCAACCAATTTCACCTATAAATTATGAGAATTTAAGGGTATAGTATATGAAATTCAAAATGGCAATTCTTCGGATGACGCACCCCCCCCCCTCTTTTTCTGGTTTCCCTGTCCATTATGAGCTCTACTTGATATATAATTTAGTACAATATCATTCAAAGGAGTTTGGGTCGAATGATACCATGATCGGTTAGATTCGATCAATAGAAACAAAATTATGATGCTGAATCCTAGATGGAAAGGCCTTTTGTGAGATCAAATTGATGATTTTTGTGGCAATCGACTTATTGGCAGCTTGAAATGCTCTTTTGATTGATATATATTTTCCATATAAATGAAAAAATAGAACAGAAAAATGGGGGGGGGCGTCATTCGAAGAACTACCTTTAAAATTGTTGACAGGGGGGTCAACATCGAAAACCTATTTAGATTGGTGGGACTAAGGATGAGATCAGGGTATTTGGAGAAATATCGTAAGATTCGGAGAGATATCGTGATATCAGAGTTGGAAGGATCTCGGTAACCAGATTTGGAGTGTCGGAATATCAGCAAAAAATCCTCTTGAGCCCCTAAGTAAATTTGTAAAAATATCAAAAATAAAAATTTGTGATGTTCAAAGGGTTGTGGGTCGTCTGTGGTGGACTCGTTAGGAGAAATTAAACTCACATGAACATTTCCATTGAAATTACCAACGGCATACTCGCACTTGAATAGCGGGTCTTTAACAACGTAAAAGTAATTAATTATTTAAATAAAACATGCTAAACCTGAAAATGTCTTTGGAATGGTAATTGGAATGATTTGGTTGCCTTCAACATTATCCAAATTAATTTCAAAGTCTCTCTCTAGCTTTTTATTTTTTAACTTTTTACCAGCTTAAAATTTATTTAATTATTTAAACTAAAAGATAGTGAACCTGGAAATTCCCGTGGAATGTTCGAAAGCAAAGACTTAGTGAGTTGCTTTGCCTGAACAGAACAATTTTTTATTGTAAGTCCCTCAACATTTTCCTTCTCTTCTCCTGTAGTTGACTGAACATTTTGTGAAGAAGAAGGACCCTGAAGTTAAAATAAACTGACGATTTAACCAGAAAATTAAAAGGAAAAAATTTTTGGAAAATTTGGGAGAGCCAGGGCAAAGCCAAAGTCCGGACCCAGGTTTGAATACGGGAAATTTTGAAGCCCGAGCCACAAAAGGATTAGTAAGGCACTGGTGTCCCTTATTATTTAAGCGAATGTTTCAAGAAAATCTATGACAGAAGCTGGTTAAGGATTACTTGAGATGGTTAAGGATTGGTTAAGGATTATACTCTCATATTTGAGACTGATGTGATGTTTGGACACAGCCCAAATAAGTAAACTTAAAAACTTTAACTACAGAAAAAAATCAAAAACTATCAAAAAACCTCAGATTTCCTTTTAGCAGCCAATTCATAAGAACAAGTTGAAGCAGAATGACTTCGTTTAACACATAGTTTTAGTTTTGCTAGAATAAAAAATTGTTTTGAATTTGGAAACTTTTTAAATTTGGTTTGTACTTATTTCACCTCCAAAAATAGATAAATTATATGTCATTCGAAAGAGCTCAACAAGCGCTTTTGAATGATATACAACTCGAATAGGTTCTAAATTAACTCAATAACGATTAAACTAAGCCTAAAATTTTCAAAAAAATTTTGAAAATTTTTAAAACTTGAATGTCTAAATTCAAAACAAATAAACCCACTTTCCGATACAGTTGTAATTTCCCGTACAATTTCCAAACCACACCCATCGCTGGGGCATAAATTCTTAGTCAAGAAATAAGGCACCAAACATGCTAAATGAACTTTGTGACCACAAGCAGCTGAAATATTGCCTTCAGAATTAATTTGTTTCGAACAAAGTGCACAAGATTCCATGCTTAACTAAAATATAATAAATTTAAAAAAGTCTTAAACAATTTTAGCCAATAATTCTTTTAAAAATCATAAAAGATTCGCGATTGAATTAATGCGGGATTTAATGCGACCCGCATGCGGATTAATGCGGGAATTAATGCGACCCGCATGCGGGATTTTTTTTCAAAATCTTTGCGGGACGGGATCCCGCGGGATAAATCCCGCAAAATCCCGCATCCCGCAAAATCCCGCAATTTAAATTTGCGGGATCCCGCGCGGGATTGCGGGATTTTTCTAAATTTTGAAAAATTCTTTAAAAAGCATGCCGTAAGCAAAATTTAAGCTGAATCACATAGTATTCGATCGGTCTCAGTCCTACGTTGAGATGACTCAATCAATCAAGCGATTGATCATCTGATAAAGTGATCAAATCATCGATCGAGTGATCAATCGAGCGATTGAGTCATCTGAGCAGTGATCAAGTCATTAGATAGAATCATCAGCCGAGAGGGTGATCAATTGTGAGGAGGATATAGTATTAAACCAGGATAGTGATCAGGAGTAATCAACCGAACGGTGATCAGCCGGATGATGGCTAACCTCGAGTGATCAGCCGAAGATGATCAACAAGGAGAGTGAGCTCACTACACCCTTGATCTATTTATTTTTTATTTCCATACAATTTCCTAATCGTTAACGGGTTCTTAACTCGTTCTCGTTGCTCGTACACGTACCAAATTCCGAGTACATGTTGGTACGAGTACATGTTGGTCATCGTGATCTAACAATTTGGACAATTTTGTTTCGATGAAATAGAGATGATTCCATGGGCGACAGGCTAAAATTTTGGAAGGACAAGCATCCATATTCCTTCCTTTTACAGCGCCGCAGGCAAAAATTTCGAGGTTCTAGGAAGGCCAGCGAGCCAGAATTCTCCTTTTCATAGCGCCGCAGGCGAAAATTTTTTGAGTTTATAAGGTTAGGAGCCAAAATCCTCCATTTTCCAAAAATCCCGCAAAATTCAAAAAATTTTGCGGGATCCCGCATGCGGGATTTTTTTAAAAAATCTTTGCGGGACAGGATCCCGCGGGATAAATCCCGCAAAATCCCGCATCCCGCAAAATCCCGCAAATCGAAAAAAGTGCGGGATTGCGGGAGCGGGATCCCGCAAAATCCCGCGCGGGATCCCGTCCCGCGCCGGTCTCTACTTTGTAGAGGGGTTTATTTCTAAATTTAAACAATTTCGAGTATGATATCAATTTAAAATCTTTTTCACAAAAATAATGGAAGGATCATTTCAATAATATACAGTAGTGATGCTCGGGAGAAGAAAAACCCGGGAATCGGGAAACGGGAGTCGGGTCGGGAAATGACCTCGGGAGTCGGGAGTCGGGAATTAGCAATAAAAAAATTTTCCAAAAATTTCAAAAATTTTTGGCGCCTTCGGCGCCAAAAATTCCGATTTTTTGCACCATAGGTAAAAATATTGAAAATTTTGGAAGGTAAAGAAGCCTTACTAGCGCCGCAGGCGAAAATTTTGAGAATTTTTAGGTCAAGAAGTCAGATTTCTTCCATTTTTTGCGCCGCATCCAAAAATTTTGACTCTCATTGGGGTGAAATAGAAAGAGGTCTTGTCTTGAACGATCTTTAAGGGTAACTTAAGAGTTTATTTCCCCGATTATTTGGAAAGATAAGCCAACAGCCTGTCCAAAAAACCTTTTAACCGCAGAGATAATCAGTGTTGGGTATTGCTGGGGGCTTTTTCTTTTAGCCAGAGCCCAGCTTTGATTTATATTTGTTGTCATCGACCTTAAGTCCTTAGAATTTCTCCATTGGAGTGAAATAGAGGAAAAGTGAAACAGAGAAAAATATTTTTACGTTCAATTTTGGTGGAATTTTGGTCTTCTATACTACAACTCCACAGATTCTTCAATTTTCAGCGCCGCAGGCGAAAATTTTGGGAATTTTGGAAGACCAAGAGGCCAGATTTCTTCATTTTTTCTAAATGAAAATATAATTTTGTCAGAAAAATCCATTCTTAGTGGTGTAAAAATTTCCCGACTTAGTCGGGAATTGACACCGGGAGTCGGGATCGGGAGGCCAAAAACTCGGGAAATTTTCCCGAGTCGGGAGTCGGGATACCCGAGCATCACTAATATATAGCTTACATATGGTATATAAAACTTCCTGAAATATTCATGATTATCTAAAATACCGATAACGATATATATTCTAATGAAATATCTCTGATATTGGCTATAAAAAATATTAATCTTATGACTGATTATAACTACCTTAAATTTTATAAACATTTTTCTAAAATTTTTCCCAGCTAAAGTATAAAATAACAAAGAAGATGTTGAGAGTTTTGTAGCATATTCCTTCCATTTTAACTCCAATTTTGTTTTTCCAAATGTATAATTATTTATTAATTTATTATTTATATTAGCTGCTTTAATTAAATCAAATAGCAATTCAAGAGGCAAAGGGGAATAATTTTTATTGTTTTTGTATTCTTTGTAATTTTTATTTTGGGGATTTTCCATTTTTATCTGAAAAGTATTTTAAATTATGTGTACATATTCCTCTCATAAATTGTTTCCGGAGAGTAAATATAAAACACACACTAACAAATAAATTAAATAATACACATTCCGGAAAACAAATATAAATTCTTCAAAAATTAAATAGAATACATTTCGGAAAGTAAAGATAAAACATAAAATAATATAAACACTCCGGAAGACACATTTTAATTGTTTTAAAAAACAGATTAACCCAAGAACAGAATATAAAACTTTCCGAAAACAAAATAGAACAACTTCCGGAAATTAAATATAAAATATACAAGTAATAGAATACTTCCGGAAAAACTTTTAATGTACAGTAAATATATAATATAGATTTTCTGGAAAACATTTAAATTTAACTTCAAAATACAAACTCGAAACTCATTTAAAAATAAATTTTTCAAGAAACAAAATAGAATACTTTACGGAAAAATAAATAGAACACATTCAGGAAAATCAAAAGTTAATATAAATATTCCGGGAAACCAAAAAAAGTACTCATCGGTTATACACCCACAAACTGAGTGCCGGCCGAATTATAACCCGATAAATCTGGAAAGCACTAAATAACTGGACTTAACGTATTATAACTTTTAAATGAATGATCAGAATTGATATTAGAATAAGGTACCGCTTATCGAGGGCTTTCGAATTATAAGATTTATTTGAATTGGACCAAGCTCAAAAAAGTTATAGACAATCAATGTCGGATGCCACTCAGTTTGTGGGCGTATATCCGTCAAGTACCCAAAAAAACTTCAATTAATAAAAACTTTACAAAAAACACAATTAAATGTGTTTTAAAAAAACTTATTGGAGATAGAATAGAACACATTCAGGAATGTAAATATAAGCCTAAAATAATAAAAACTTTCCGGAAAAATCTTTTTACATATGAATTTTAAATTATTTATCAGGAATATAAAAACGTAAAAAAATTTTATTATAGTTTTTAAAGAATTAAAAATTTATTTAATTTAAATGATTAAACACAGATATTTGTTCTTCGTCTTTGAATGATATTTATACTTGGTATGGGTGGGATTAAATCTTTCAAATATTTAAAAAGTTTGTTAGCTCCTCCCATTTACCTATAATTCTTAAAAATGTCAACATAAATATTTAAAGAAAACAAAATAATTATTAGACAGGCAAAATTACACAATTTTTGTTTTTTCCTTTGAGTAAAATTTTAAAAAGTTTTTCGCCTCTTCGCTTCTTTTCATAAAGATTTATTTTTATATTATTTTGCGAGATCAAAAGCATGTAGGAAAAGGATATATAGAATAAAGGAACGACTAAAAGAGGTAATAAATAATAATTATATTTAATATATTGCAACTTTTACGTTAACGCCAGGGTCGAAGGCTTTTATTAATTTTTAAAGTTATTATCAAAAAAATATTATTTTATAATTTTTAACAAGTGCTCGAGCTAATCCGCTTTCATTATCCTTAAAAACCCCGAAAGATTTTTCAGGATGATTGTCTCCAACTCGACCCGCTCCCCTAAAAAATTAAAATCCGTCTTTTTGGAGTGTTCTGGCGGATCTGGATATACAGATCCGCCAACCCTAACTCCGCTTCCGAACTTTCGGCTCTACATACTAGGCATTTTATTTAATGCTACTAGGCGTTTAATGCTACTTTTCAGATCAGAGTTAAGAACTGCCTTTCAAAAAATGGGGCATGATTTAGATGATAAAGAGATAAAAGCAATTTATTTACAAGTTGATACTAATAAAGATGGAAAAATTAATTTTATTGGTAAAAATTTAAAAAATATTTTTAACATTTTTTTTTAATTTTAGAATTTACTGAAATGATGACAAGAAGGAAATAATAAATATAAATTATTACTAAATATAATTCTTATGCCTTTTAATTTTAATAAAAAATTAACATTAACATTTATCTACATATTAAATTAAATTTTTTATTGCACAATTTTAAGGGTGTTATTAAATATTTATTTTGAAATCCCTGAATAAAACGATCACTAAATCAACGAGTAAGGAAAATACAGTAAATATGAGGGGTTCGTTAATCGAAATTTATTTTCGTAATCGTAATTCGTATTTTTTCCTTTTTTGTGAGAGTGCTACTGCTATAATTTATCGGTTAAAAATTTTTCTGTTAATGGTATTATTTTGCCGGAAAAACATTTAATTTTAGAATGTTTCCGTAAAAACATTAATTATTACATGTTTCCTGAAAACATTTAATTTTTAAGATGTTCCGGAAAAACATTTAGGTAAATCTTAAATGTCTCCAGAAAGGTAAAACATTAAATGTTTTTCTGGAAAACATTTAATTTTTAAAATGTTCTGGGAAAAGATTATTTTTAAAATGTTTCCGGAAAAACATAGATGTTTCTATGTCAGTGAACATTTTTTTATGAAAGTCTAACATGTTTTTATGAAAAAGTTGTTTGCCCTCATACCTCCCAAACAT